GGTTCTGCCATTGCGGACGAAAATTGGGTTGTGATTTCACCAATTTACAGACTAAAAAGACAAAATTTGCAACAAATCCATAGTTAAAATCGAAAAATGATTTTTTTTTTTTGCCTTTTTTTTTTTAAAGCTTCGTAATCATCATAATCAAAATGTGTTTTTTGCTTCATCATCACCTTTATGGGAACAATCAAAGAATCAAGTTTTATCATCATCCTTCGGGAGGCAAGGAGAGAGAGGTTTGGGTTTATAAAGAAATGTAACCAAGAAAAATTGCAAGAAATAAAAGCAAAAACTCAAAAGAAAAAAAAATTAAAACAAAATCAATCAATCACCAAATCAAAATCCGTGGAAAAGAAAAGAACCCAACTCGTGGGTTCGCCTTTCTAGATCTAATTAGGCAAAGCAAAGGTAAAAAAAAAAAAAAAAAAAAAAAGGTCGAAGGAAGGAGAGGATAAGATAGAAATGGGAAGAAGTGGGGGTAGATTAGTAATTAAAGATAAGAAAATTAGCCATGTCATCACTAGGTGGATTTTCCATGTAATTAAAGTAAAGAAAGAAATAAACTTTTTCATTAATTAACTTACCACATCAGCCAAAACTTAACAGAGGGACTAAAAAGGAGTTAGATTTTAAACATTAAAGACAAAAAAAGGATTTTTTTTAGTATAGAGACTAAAAATGTGCTTTTTCCTATAGTATAAGAACCAGAAAGGGCATTAAACCTTTACTATTTGATTTAAAAATTCAAGAAAATTTTAGGTAACCCCGTAAGATACTGAGATATATAGTTTACTGATATGTTTAGTAAGGGTTTTTTTTTTTTGTTAAATTTCTTTACGACAGTTCCAACTCCCTTTATATTTTGTTTGATCTTGAATAAAATTCTTTGCATATTCAACACACTGGTTTTTTCTAAAGAAAGAAAATTGCAGAGAATGATAAGGGAATCCATTGATTGTGAATGAAACTCTTTGCATCGGCACAGATAATGGCTAGTGTTCTGTTCAGATGAATTTGAAATTTCGTGAATTCTTAAATAATTAAAAAAGGTTTAGATAAAAATATGACTTCATCATTTTTTTTATTCAAATATATAATTTTTTTGAATTTTTAAATTAAATAGTAATTTTTTACTTTTTTAATTTAAATACATGAATATTATCCTATTTTGATTAAAATTTTCATTTGTTACATTATCATCATTCTCTAATAAATCTTCAAAAAAAGAAGAAGAAAAGATTGTAAAATTTCATATTATCATTTGAAAAAAAAAAACAAAATTTGCTACTTAATTTAAAAATCTAAAAAGTTTATATTTTTAAATAGATTAATAACAAAGTTATCATCTTTATTTATGCATTGTCTTATGAAATGATGAGATTTTCATATTTTGTTATTTGAAAATTACCCATTGTAAATTCCATAGTTCCTGCCTGCAGGATCCATGTTAGGGAGGCAGTGATAAGGCAAAAAAATTTTGTTAGAGATGACGTGGGTAAGGTGGGTCCGACAAGGTAAGGTGACAAAAAAAAAAATGAAAAAGGCCTAACCGGTGTGACCGTCAGACTTAACAGTCAATAAAGAGCATTGCTAGCTTACGTTGATGGAGGGACGACATTAGTATTCTTTTGCATTGTAGAGGGACGACAGGTGTAGTTAATTGATAGTAGAGGGATGACATGGCGTCAATTCATAGTAGAAGGTTTAGATTGCATTATTTTTTATAGTAGAAGATACATGGCATTAACCCTAAAATTAAACAAACCCTTTTAAAAAAACTTAACTGATAAACATTCTTTTCAAATATCAATTCAAAACAAATCTAAAAAAAAATTATCTATTCCACGATAAATTGTGCTGCGATACAAGAAGCAAAGCACATGCATTGAGTGTGGAGGGAGGAGAAAGTTTGCTGTATTTTGAGATATTGCTGACGTGGTATTCCAACCAATTACAGCATGTCACATTATCAAAAATTCTTCACTTCATTAGCAATGTCAACTCATTCAACAATAAAAATAATAATATAACACGTTGTGATTGGCAAAAGGTACCGTTTGCCCCTTAACTCTTTGAATTTGAGGGGTTTTACCTTCCATATTACAATACATGGATTTTTACCCTTCATATTTTCGAGTTTGAGGAAATGAGGCAAAATTTAACGCCAGAGCGTCACGTGTAGCATGTGCACCGTTGGCCTCCGTCAATTATGCACATGTCAGCGCCACCTCAGACTTTTTTGACAACTTAGTATGCCAACTTCGACCCCATGAGTGGGAAGTCTACCTGCTACCAATTTTATTTATTGGCCCCATCGCTGACTAAAAGTTTGAAAAAAAAAAAAGACAGATAAATGCCAAGAAATCGTCCGACTCCAACCATTGTGATCGAGAGCAAAGAAAAGCTTCTATTAACCCCACAACCCAGAAAAGGACCATAGAAGGAAACAACTGTGATACCCCAAAAATTTCTAGAATAAATAAGTGAGTTAGGGACTGAATTGTGGAAAAATATTATGTTGGGGCTTAATAGCAAAATTTGCTAAGTTGAGGGACTTAAAAAGGGAAAAGAATTTGGATAAGGATGACTTCTTTTCTTTTTCTTTTTCCTTTTCTCTTTTCTTCCAGCCCGCGTGTTCTGCTCTTCCCGACCCCCCCTGTAGCCGAACAAAAAGAACCCAGCCACCGACAGCCCTCCTCTTGAGAAAACCGGTGAGAAAGCTTGGTTTTTGGCCTTCTTTTCTTGCTCTAGAACACAAATTGAACCCAGAAATTCTCCCCCCCCCTGCTGCAAAATCCGGATCTGCTTTGCTCTGTCCGCCGGCTGCTCTTGTTGTGGGGGCAAATTGCTTGGGTTTTGGTTAAGAAACAGCCATTAAATTCCTTTGTTCTTGCTTGAATTGGCTTGGGTTTACCTTAATTGCTCTTGGTTCCTTCAATTTTTGGTAGCCCGAGAGTTTCCCTGCAGATTGCCGCCGGCTTCTCCCCCTGCCAAGTCCGGTTTTTGGCTGCTAAATTCTGGTATGGACAGCCCCTTTAAGCCTAAAATTATTCATTAGCTGCTGGGTTTGTCCATGAATTATTGCTCTCCATGTGCTGCCGTGAGAAATGGGGGATAAATTTGATAGTAATTAGACCATGATTAGCTTAAATTAAGTGGGATTTATATGATTGAGTGTTAATTGTCTGCTGTGTGATTTTTGGAGAAAATCCCGTGAATTAGTTAGTGTTGTGGCCAATTTTTGGTAGTTGGAGTACTGTTCACGTCGTGGGTACTGTTCACGGCACTGTTTACAGAACACTGTTCACATATAGATGGCCAACAATTAGCGGGGATTTAAATGATTAGTTTGTGATATAAGAACGAATTTGGAAATGTTTAATCATGTGGAGATTGATAGGAATAGCACCGTGATTAGGGGTGATCCTAATGATGATTTCAGTTTGAATTTGTGGTAATACGATAATTAATTGTGGATATTTTGATTAGGTTTTCGATCGTTCTGTCAGTTAGCATTGAGATTGGATCTTCAGTTTATGCGAGTGAGGTAAGTAAATTTACGGTAATGCCCGTACTGTTTTTAAAAGCATGTTTTGATTTGTTTTGAAGTGGTGGCAGGACTAAACTCGTTTTATGCAAAAGTAAGTATGACTGATTTGAAGTGCAATTTTTATGCTTTTCATTAAATTGAGCATGCCTACTTGAAATTTAAGTGATTGTCCTGATGATTTGAAAGTGATTGGTGAATTGTGATTTTCCTGTTAACTTCTGCCTGTTTTGTCTCCGATGTGGTCATGTTATTGTGACCCTGCTAGTGGGGGTTAAACGCTAGCACATGTCGGCACATGTTGATATGTTATTGATAGAACTGGTTCGTTTAAGTGACCCTGCTAGTGGGGGTTATACACTAGTAAATCGTGTGCCTGTCAGTGGGAGGTTTATAACACTGGCCGCGACCTATAGAGGAGATGTCTATTTCATTCGTACTCGTACCTGTTTTCATGATTATACTGGTTGGCATGCTATAAGTTTGATAAGGGACACTCCATATTTTACTTACTGAGTTTATCTCATAGTTTTCCTTGTCCACCATTTCAGGAAGCGAAACCGAGGACGGGGAAACCACGGGAAGTGACGAGTTAGAAGGCTAGCCATTTCGGGATTGATATAGATTCTAGAAATCATGATCTTGTAAGCTAGGGTGTACTTGGAGATTTTATGATATCAGAGAAATTTTAAAGATTTGATCTTCAAATTTTGGTGGTATCAGATTGTGAATTGGATAAGTTCCGAGCCTTGTGCATTTGTGGGACCCTCTCACGAGTGCACGGCGTCCGTAGCGCCTCGAATTTAGGTTCTGGGGCATGACAACAACTTTACTCCACCCACCAACCGAACGAATCTCCATTGAAGGAGAAGTCGTGTACTCTCCATAAACGCATCTCACTTTATTCATCTTCGAAACCGTCTCGATCGCGTCCTTCTCTCTGCAGAACTCGATTCTCCTCTGGAAAACATCTCTCTATCGCCGTAGCTCCTCAATTTCCCCAATCGTCTCCATTCTTGTCCTCACCGCCTTCTCCAACCGCACCTCCCCCTGCGCCTGTAACTTGCTTGATAACTCATATTCGAGTTTAGTCAACGATCTCAACCTGCTCTTGCTCTCTTCCACATCCTTTCTCAGTTCATAAAGCTGTTCCTTCTCCGAATCCAAGCTCTTCTGTATCTCCGATTGCTTTCCGATCTCTTCCTTCGTCCGGGCTTCCAAATCTGCAGCCTGCAAAAACACAAACTCAAAATCAAGAATCAAAACACAGAAATATATATATATATATATATATATTTGATTGTTAGTTTTCGAATCCTCGAGAAAATTAGGTAATATACCCGATTAGTGCATAGAGAAGCAGCCCATTCAGCTTTAGAACGTCTGTCAGCATTCTCCTTTGCCTCTTTCTTCTTCATCTGAATCATCTCTTCAGCTTCATTGATTCTACTTCTCAGATATTCTTGTCTCTCCGCCAAATTGTGCTGATGGAATCATTGTCAAATTCAAATTTTCCTAGCATCCAAACAAGATCAGGAAAAAGTTTTTAAAAATAATAATAATAAACAATATATGTCTCTAGAGTCAAAAAGGAATGAACATGAACAAACAAAAATTCCAAACAAGATGGTTGAAATTTGAAAACAAACAAAGGATTTCCAAATAACACCGAATTATTTGAGAATGATTTCATTCCAAGAAAATGAAATTATCTTTTCTCACTATGTTCAAGGCTGGGTTGCCGGACACATCTTCCTGAATTGGGCTAGTTTTGACAATGTCACTCCTTTCCTCCAATTTTTCCTCATCCAAATTCAATGACGACAAGTGTTGGAAATAGCTTTCAATCTCCTGGATATAGGATTCCCATTCAATCTGTGAATCCACACTCAAGGTGGATGGATGGTGGCCAGATTTCGACCTGGAATTATCAAAGAACATTCTTGAGAAACTTCTAAGAAAAAGATTATCTTTCAGCTTTGTAACCGGAATTCCTTGATCATCCTCTAGGCATCCTTCTTCATTGTTTCCCCTGAGGAACACTTTGTAACCGGAATTCCTTGATCATCTATCCTATTCCTTCAATGGAGATTCGTTTGGTTGGTGAGTGGAGTAAAGTTGTTTCCTTCTGTGGTCCTTTTCTAGGTTGTGGGGTTAATAGAAGCTTTTCTTTGTTCTCGATCACAATGCTTGGAGTCGGACGATTTCCTAGCATTCATCTGTCTTTTTTTTTTTTTCAAACCTTTAGTCAATGGTGGAGCCCACAAATAAAATTGGTAGCAAGTAGACTTCCCGCTCATGGGGGTCCAAGTTGGCACGCCAAGTTGTGAAAAAAGTCTGAGGGGACGCTGACATGTGCATACTTGACGAAGGCCAACGGTGCATGTGCTACACGTAACGCTCTGGTGTTAAATTTTACCTTATTTCCTCAAACTCAAAAATATGAAAGGTAAAAATCCATGTATTGTAATATGAAGGGTAAAAACCTTCATATTCAAAAAGTTAAGGAGCAAACGGATATCTTTTACCGGTTGTGATTGGTCGAAAATACTATGTCAGTGGCACTCCCATAATACAGCAGAATTTTTCGTGGAGGGAGAGGGACGATTCCATCACTTGACGGCCTAGCGTCAGCCTCGCGCATGGAAAAGAGTATTCTTTTCGGATGAGGAAGGAAATAAATAAATAAATAATCTTAACATGATAACGTTGTCCAATTGGCTGTCATAATAACAAAAAAATCTAAATTATGAGAAAAAAAAATCTAATATCTTCATATTTGAATTAAATGTTGACAATTGATTCAGAAGAAAAAATACTCAATGATGACTTAAATAATTTAATGAATCACATAATATATGAATGGGATAAATATAGAGAAAAAAAAAAGATTACCTTCAGTTATACAATCAATATAACACATATATATAAATTCCAAAATAAAAATGTAATTTTATAATTATGAGATATTTTTAAATGATTAATTTTTTATTTAAATTTTTA